AAAACCTGGGCTGTAAGAAAGCACATTCAGTACTGCAAATGCTAAAGCCACTGCTATGCTAACATCACTGCTTGGTAGGTGCTCCGTTGCAGTTAGGGTTTAAATCCCACTGGTGATGACTCTGCTTCCTGTGGGGCTCTTGTTCCTCTTGTTCCTCAGGGCACTGCAGCCTGTAGGGCAATGGTGAAGCCGTGTAGTTTAGAGATTAAGATGAGTCTACTTCCTGTGTGTATTTGGTTCCTCTGTCTCAGGAGCACCATTCACTGTAAAAGACATTACCAGGTAAAATTAAGTAAAACTAAATTAACATCTGAAGTTGTAGTTAATTACAGCAGATTTCAACATTAATATTTAACATCTACTTTAATATTATGTTAAAGGAACTTGCATGTTTTAGAAAAAATCTGGCTAATAACACAAAATTTACTTAGTTACCTAGTAGAACTGCATCTAATGAAGTGCAAAGCTACGATCTGTCTTTTTAGAGGGCCTATATCATGGAAAACTGAATTTTCTCTCTTTTATAGATAAAAGAGTTTGGTCTAGTATGTAAACATTGTTAACATGTAACATTGTTAACATTTAACATTGTTAACGTTAATTTACACTGAGGTTATAAGGAGTGATTCAGCCTGGACTGTTTTTTGAATGAAGTGCAGGGCAGCCAATCAGAACAGAGCTGTCTTAAATGCATGTTAATAAAAGCAGCCTGTTTAATTCAAAATGAGATTCAAAATGAGAGTCAAATGGCATGTTTTGTTGATTTTTTGAAGAACAGACTTCTGCACATTTAAATGCACAATAATGGTTTACTTGCTGAATGTAACATATTGGAGTCTGCCGATTGTGTACAAAGGGTTCTTTGAGTGTGTATGGTTCTATATAGAACCATTTTCTTTACTAAAGAACCATTGAAAAACCATATCACAAAAGTGATATTTTTAAGCGACATCTTTCATCAAAACGGTGCGAAACAGTGTGCACTGGGCTTTGAGGTAGGTTTTCTTTTGTTTGATGGGTCAGCAGAGACATGTATATAAACCTGGCCATATTAAAAAGGGAGTACACACAATGAATTCTAACAAAGTCCTCTACAAATGCGGCCACTGCAGCTTGGTGTATGCAACAATAAATAATTAAATAATTAAAAGACGTGTTTGTCGTAGGTATTTTATTGTAAAGTAAGTATCAGCTACGCTGTTAGAAATAAAGGTTCTGTGCAGGTACATTTTTCATGCATCAAGGTACAAACAATGTAAATGTACCATCAAAGGTACAACAGTGGTTTTAATGTCCAATCGTGTTCCTTAAATAAGTTTTTCCAGGTGAAAAGTATGTATTTGTACCTTTTCACAACCTAATGTTTTAAATCAGAACAATAAAAGTCTGGAGACGAGACGGGGTGTGTGGAGTCAATACAACTTAAAAAATATCATTTCAATGGATTATAGTACAAATATGCTCCCTGACTAAAGGTACAGAGATGTACCCTTGAGAGTACCACCTAAGTAACAAGAGGGGTCCTGCCCCAGTGACAGTTCATACCTTTTTTTTTCTGAGAGTGTAGAAGGATACCAAGAATGGCCGTCTTAGCTGCCATAGTTGCAATGTTTGCCCAACACTGAGTGCTAAGCGCACCACCATTTCTGTTTAAATAAACATTTTTCCATGTGTTGTCAGGCAAACAAATCAAGGACCAAACAGAAGAATTTCAAACAAGAAAAACAGCTCTGCGTTCAGGAAGCAACAACACAGACTTCCAAAGGCACAAGGCCAAATGAAGGAGTATATGAAGGGGTGGTAATCAGACCTAGGAGTTAGTCACAGGTGTGTGCAGTAATGAAGGGGTGGAGCAAGGAAGGAGCCAGAGTGGAGCAGGAGCTGGAATGAGCCATTTCTGTCTGGGAAGGTCCAAAGAGTCTCTACAGATGAAAGGAGACATTGTGGCTTTAATTTTGTTCTCTGTAGAGAATGTCTTAACTTGTTTTCACTTAGAAAGTCAACAAATTATTATTATTTATGAGAAGTGTCCAAACTTTTGCAGATGACTGTGAACCCATGCACTATGTATGGAAAAAAATAAATACAGTGAAAATGTGAGCAGGCTGAACATATTTTACAGTGTTTTCTTTATGGAGCATTGACTAAGCGCTCTGTTCGTTTGAGCTATATGGCAAAGTCATCTGTGTTGGAACTGGAAGGTCACCTTCAACCACACACCTGTTAGTGGAGGATCAATGTGACATTACCCCATACATCAGGCCTGACCTGGAGAGGGACACTTTATGAGCCTCCTTTAAGGGCTTTTATGGGTCCCGTGATTTCCATGTAATGCACACATGAGCACACATGCACAGCCAAAGCACCACTGTCAAATGAATCACCCTTATTGACTCTCCACTCACCCCTCCACCTGCACTCGGCTCATCCATCCGCTGCCGGGAACTCATAAAAGCAGACAGGCCACATAAATAGTGAATGCAAAGGCGTGTGTGTGTGTTTTTGAAATGTCATTCAATCTAAATGCACATGAAATGTCATTCTGCTCTGCAAATGCATTCTCTCACATTCACAGTGACTAGGCTTTAGCATCACCTTCACTGCGTCAGAATTCCTACTAGACGGCTACATAGAGATTCAAATCACCATGCAGCTCTTCTCCTTTTTGAAATATGACTCACAAATAAATGCACCATTCATATTCGTTGAAAACAGGTGCTGAGTCATGAGTAAAGCACTGCACATTCTGGTAAAGCAGCATCTCAAATGGTTCCTATCCTCGCCTTTGTTTTTCCTTTTGTTGTACCATACTGCCCTCTGCTGGTCAAATAAATACACTACAACCTGAGAGGGACATTTGCTACACAGTAGTGATAGCCAGTACTTAGTCGTATGCAAGCGTTTGGGTGCCCCCAGTCAAATTACATGTTTTAAAACATCCTCAACAGAAACACACTTCTGCACATTTTAATGCGCAATTACCATTTATTTGCTAAACTTAAAATATTTTGAAAAAATAAAACATAAAATGTAGCCTGTGCAAACGTTGTGGAGCAGTACGTGGGACCCCACTGTAATGGTTAGACTTCTTCTTATTAGGGTTCAAGCATGCAATGCATTGAACCCAACTGTAATTATTATTATTATTGAATTTTCTCTGCAATAATAATAATAATTATTATTATTATATGCAAAAATTGAATCGCCCAGACCAAACTGACCAAAGTCCTCGAGACAGAAAACTTAGTCAATAGGTAGTAGTCCCTCCATTCCCTCCCACTACTCAGGTGCATGATATGAGCCCTTTACTTGTCTCCTGTATGCCAAGAAGCCCCCTTAGGGGTTAATTGGCCCTTAATAAGACATGTCAAAAATTGTAAAATTTGTAATCTATTTTTGAATTCTTTGTTAAAATCTTTTGCATGCAATACAAATGTCAAAAGATCAGTAAATATGAACTTTTAACATATTTAATGTTTAAAGGCCACTTCGCATAGTTTGTCGCATATGAAGGCCTGTTGATAAATCCTGACTTCCTTTCACTTTTTATGCTCTCTCTGTAAATGAGGCCCAAACTGCATTAGGCCTTGTTAAACTTCACTGGCCCAAATTGCACCGAACGGTTAGTGCTTACAAGGTCTTATTGAGCTATAAGAACTAAGATTTAATTTTTTTTATGTTAAATTCAGCAAATAAATAGAAATTGTTCATTACAGTTTGCCCAGATTAGATATGCTAACTTATTGTCACTTAGAACATCAGTATTAACATCAACATTAATTAGTTTGATGTGGCTTTGTACCAATATAAAAAAAGTAATATCCCGATCACTCTTTTATTTCTTCAATTTTTCGTTGAAAAGTTATTGAATTTTCAGCATCAGAAAAGCAAGAAATACATATATATATATATATATATATATATATATATATATATATATATATACACATTAGAAAGTTACACAAAAGCCAATTAAGTGTAATATCAAATTTGTGCACTCTTTACTTTTGCGCACCCTAGTACCACTTTATCTCTGCCATCTGCAGCAAGTTGCAGCTGTGTCCTCCCAAATAAAGATGTTCCCAAAGAAATCGCAGACATTATGTTCCCCTTCACATTTATTTCTCATGTGCATCTAAAATTGTTTAGATTACATTAGATAAAGATAGATAGACAGATTCCATAGATAGACAGTCCTTCCATTGTGAGCAGACAACTCAGCACTATGAGTCTGAAAGGACGTGTAGCTGTCAAGAACAGATAACTGAGATAGGCAAATAGAACATTTGCTCTAAAATAACATAACTGGACATCTGAGATGTGATGTAATGTTTTATTGACTGATGGGTCTAAATTTACTGATCATACAAAGAAGCTGCTTTCACAAAACAATGAACTGGTCACTGCAGAGTCAACATCAGTGAATGTATCTGAGATCACTTGCAACCAAGTTCTAAGACTGAACTTTGGAGGTGTGGAAAAACATTCCCTCAATTTTTTTTGAAAAACTAACAGCAAGTCTCTTGAAAAGAATGGAAGGCATAAATGGAAAGGGTGGATCTGTGTAATTTTCTGTTAAATGTATGTTTTCTGCTTTTTTCCTGACACTGAAATATTAGTTATTTGGATTTAATGACTATTTTGACTGAGCATTGAATGAATGAAAGAGTGGTCTCTGACTTTTTCAGTGTTCCGAATGTCATTTTTAATAGCAATAACATGCTAGTGTTTGTACATTTTGCGGATTGCTGTCTTGAAAATACAACAATCTCTGGACAGTGTTTCTGACAGTCTTAATGGGCATCATGTATTTGATTATGTATATCATGTATTCTTTGGATTATTTATTTATTTATTTACTTGATACACTATCAAGAGTATCCTCACTACTCTAGATAGCGCATCGAGTGTGACAGAACAGCACCATGACTTTATGAAGGTGCAAACATCAAATAAAGCACGAGAACAGGACGCAACGGCTTAATGAGAGCTTGTGAAAGCAGAGCTAAAAAATCTCTGGTTAAAGTGCAACTTGTTTGATGGAAGCCAGGCATTGCAATGCAAACAAACCTAATCCATAAAGGCTTTCAAGTGATTTTATTTCATTTTAATATTGTCCTTAACATAATTATGTAAGCTGAATGATTGCTCTCCAATAATATATCAATACTTTTTTTTTTTATAATTTTTCTCACTTCATTAAGGACATCAGGGTTCACTGTATCATACTGGAATGCATTTAGCAATACATATTCACAAATACATGAGAATGGGCTCTTTAAGGAAATCTTTTGAGTGACAGAGGCATCCTGAAAAAAGAATAATCATATCTTTTCATCCAAATACAATAAATTATTACTTTAAAAATGCACAGTTCTATGATTGATAGATAAAATGAGATGACCAAAAGGTGTTAGGCTTCCACAATCAAAATTTTTGCATAATTAAATGGATAATATGTAAACAGTCATTCAGAATGGCTGGATGTGAAATGCTCTGCTCTAGAGGAATGTACCCAGTCAGAATTGCTCCCCGTGAACGTGATAGGAAACCAGATATCTGAAGCATTTAATGTCTCTAAAAGCTACCTCACATGAAGTTGTTACATGAAATGGTTATGAATACCCTGCTTGGTGAGATTGTTTTATGATTTTATAATGGTGAATTTCTCTAGAACTAAGCTTCTCACATCAAACCACTCTGTTTGCATCTCAACCACTAAATTATGCAGTAATTGTGAAAAGATCAGTGAAATTTCCTTTTAATGGCCTCTACTGATGATGACTGTTAGCCACACAGATAAATGTGCAGTTTACTGGAGAGTATTTATTAGCACTAAATTGTGTAGTGCTGGGACTAGCAGTATTTAACCCCTTAAAACTCCAGGCTTGGCACATAATAATTATTATTATGTAACTACCTGGACTACAATGCAATCTGTCTGAGTTATTCTTAAGTTATGGAAATTTATAGTAAAACTTTGGACTAGCCTCCTGGTCATTTAAGGGGTTAATCAGCATTGATTTTCTGATTCAGTACCTAAATAATGCTTTCGAATCATGGCAGTGATTAGTAATGATAACTGTATTTAAACAGCAGTGAATGATTTTGGTATTTACATACAGCAGTGCTAAAAGATTTAATGGCGTTTAGTAGTTAGGTTGAGAATGTCAGACTGCAGTCCAGTGTGTGATGGTGTCAGATGCCCAGGTGTTTGTTGAGTCGATGTAGTGCGTCTCCCACAATGTCCAGCTCATGTCGGAGCTCCTCCACTACACTGTTGATGCTGGGCATGTCCTTCAGCACACATACGCTCTGTGTGTATGGGTTGTAGCGCACGGTAAACGGGCGCCGGATCGTCTTAGCAAACTCCCTGTAGAAGGAAGGGCATGGGTGTCATACTGGTGCGGATTAAAGAGCATATTACAACATTGCAACACTGACTAGTACACTTATTTAGTATCTTCAGTTTCATTGTTCTGATATTTGCTCTTCTACTTTATGGTTAAAAAATTCCACATTTGACATGTGCCTCTTTCACTAATTTTATTTATTTATTCACTTATTTATTTAGGTTGGAAAGCTTGCCTTTTTTCAAACAACATGGAAGTCTATTGAATTAATTGTGGTTTACATAAATTTATCAGATTTTTCTAGAGACTTTTCCAACTTTCCATCTGTTACAGTGAACCCTGTCTATGGCCTCAGTTGTAACATTTGCACTCATGTCACTTTCAGCTTAATTTTAACAAAAAAATGAGTGCTGGAACAAAGATTTTTTTCCATTTGAAGCAGAGATACACTGACCGGCCACTTCATTAAGTACCCCTCCATATATCTACACTCATTGTCCATTTTATCAGCTCCACTTACAATATAGGTGCATTTTGTAGTTCTAAAATTACAGACTGTAGTCCGTCTGTTTCTCAGCATACTTTGTTAGCCCACTTTTAGCGTGTTCTTCAACGGTCAAGACCCTCACAGGACCACCACTGAGCAGGTATTATTTGGGTAGTGGATCATTCTCAGCACTGCAGTGACACTGATGTAGTGGTCGTGTGTTAGGATGTGTTGCGCTGGTACAAGTGGATCAGATACAGCAGTGTGGCTGCAGTTTTTGAACACTGTATCCATTCACTGACTACTCTATTAGACACTCCTACCTTGTCAGTCCACCTTGTAGATGTAAAGTCAGAGACGATAGCTCATCTGTTGCTGCACAGTTTGTATTGGTAATCCCCCATCCTTCATCAGTGGTCACAGGACGCTGTTGGCTGGATATTTTTGGTTGGTGGACTATTCTTATTCCGACAGTGACACTGAGGTGTTTAAAAACCCAGCAGCACTGCTGTGTCTGATCCACTCGTACCAGCGCAACACACACTAACACGCCACCACCACGTCAGTGTCACTGAAGTGGTAAAAATTATGCACCACCTAAATACTATGTGCTCTGTGGTGGTCCTGTGAGGGTCCTGACCATTAAAGAACAGAGTACAAGGTGGCTAACAAAGTGTGCAGAGAAATTTAAACAGTTTAGATATAGTTTTTTTGATGTTTTATCCAATATTTTTACTTTTTATGGAAAGAGAAGTTATTAATTGATAAATAATATATTGTGATAGTAAATTTAACTGCCTCATGATTACATTTTCACTTTTCAAATATATCATAGATGTTTATTTTATTAAAATCTTATTGATGTTATAGAGCCTTCTTGATCTTTACGGAATCAGGCACAGCTCTACAGCTCTCTTCATCAGTCGGGTCACATCTAAAATGTTTACAGATTATTTTATACCTACAACAAAATTTATTTCATTGAAAAATGTGAATTCATTGAAAGTAGTGATTCCAAACCTTTGAACGGTAGTGTATGTATCTCCTTTAAAAGCTCTTTGGATCCATTTTATTCAGGATTTTTTAATGTTCATTTAGAGTGCAAACACACTGCACTGTGGGCACAGGGCAAAACAGTGCAGCCAAAACCAAAAAAGTGCTCTGTACAGCAGTTCTGCATGATTGGTTGGTTTAGCTCCCCTGTGAATATGGCATCTATGGTAATGCAATGGAAGAGTTTTATGGTCATAACTAAAACCTGCAGCCTCCTTCAGGAGAAGAGTGGAATAACAGTGTAGATTTATTCTCAGCATCTCAGTCTGAAACTACAACTAAAACTAAATTCAATTCTGGAGGACAGATGGTTTTCATATCCTCTAAAAGCACTTTGAGTTCTAACATATAACAAAAATATTAGTTTACCTCATTCTCATCTTGGCCTCCTCAAAGCTCTCAGACATGAAGTAGACCTCCTGAAAGGTAGTGATCAGACACTCCTGCCTGCATGTGACTTTGGGCTCAAAAGGCAGGATTTTGGCACTTCCAGAGAGCGCATGCTGGAATAGAAAATACACTCACACTCACAGAAATGCACCACTCTAAACTGTATTTTTTGGTTATGTTTATGTTATTTAATGTTAATATGGCTCTTAGGCCCGATCCCATTTCACTCCTTGCCCTTACCACTTAGCCCTTAGCTTTACGCGTTCACGTCTAAGGTTAGGGTGTCCCAATTTTTGTAGAGATAGAGGGGTAGGGCGAAGTGTTAGGGCTATATGGCCCTCTAAACGGAGGTTTTTCAGAGGCACACTAAACGGAGTGTTATGTGAAAAAAAGAAAAACCGGCAAGATGGCTGCGCGAGCGACCAAAGAAACCATTAATTTTCTCCATTAAAAAATTACGATAACCATTGTAGTATCTTAGTTCAATGTCGTTTCAATGTATTATGGTCGTTTTCTTCGTAACAAGCATAAAAAATCGCTAAAAGTATGCTAATGTCTGGGTAGCTAGCTAGCTAACTTTCCCGTTCCACCTTAAATAGTCCAGCAGTGCTGACGACTGAAGCGCCAGAATGTAACTGCTGCACCATTTAAGGTGAAACGGGGAAATTCGAACAAGAACCTGGTGAATAGCTGACTTCAGCTTCGTATCACCAAAGAATAAGCGGTGGGCGATAATAAATAATTGTCTTACACCCCCTCTTTGAAAGCATATGATGCCCTAAATGTAACTAAAGCCCCGCGGCGACGTTGGTGAACTTGTCCCTTTTCTGCTATCACTGAAGTCGGGCCGGGTCGCCTAGAGAGCACCGCTAGTAGCCTGTTAATGAAGCGATGTATTTTTTGAGGGTTGTCCCATTTCGTAGAAGATTTTAACCACTACGCTTTGTAACTCCGTTCCAAGCCGTTAGGGTGACACTCGAAAACATGTGGTAGGGGTTAAAAGAAGAAATGGGATTGGGCCTTAGAGTCAAAGAAAAGTGTAATTCTGTCACTGTCATAAAACTTAATATCTCCAAAATGGTAACATTATTAAAAGAGGAAGTAATATTCTCAGTGATTTGGATTGTCTCTATTGGTTTACTCATCAAGAAATTTTCACACAATGTAGGATAGGACGGTTTGTGTTTTCCAAAAAATAAATAAATAAATAAATAAACAAAACAGAAAAAAGGGAGATATGAAGTTCAGATATGACAGTGACAATGTGTTGCATGCTGTCATAATCTCATTTGGTTTTGCTTCTGCTATACACCTGCAGTCTATTAAATGTGAAGCTGTATTTGTTATTTTACCTGAAGTTCGCTGATAGAGGAGAGAAGTCCAGCCCCGTATGCTCTGAGTTTACCCTCTTGTTTACACAGGCCAAATTCCACTGTAAAGAAGTAGCACTGAAAACAAACATACAAGAAAATATTATACTTTACTCAAGGACTCACTCTCTCAGGCCTATAATTAAATGTAAGGACACAAAAAGCTCTGATTTTTGTTGTCGAGTAGACTACATAACTGGTGTAAAATGACATGGTAGACCTTATCTGACCCATAAAGCCCTGTTTAAAATGACATAATAGTTAGTGCTTGACCCATACGGTGTATGTGGGGCAAAAATATTTATATATTTTATAATACACGTCTTCTCATTCTCATAACTACCTCTCATAACTAGCAGTTATTGAACAATTTATGGTAGTAACTGAATATGAAAGGAGCATTCCAGCTTAAAGCTAGAGTTTAATATGTTATTTGCTGTGTAATGTATAATTCTGTAGGGTGGCATTACATCCCTCATTCTTATCAGTTTGACAGAATTAACAGCAATACCCACCATGAACTATGCAAATATGGGAACTATGCAACTGGGAATACCTGCAGTGCCAACCAATCTTGACTGCTAGCTACTGATCTATGGGCTATACTGCCAAGCTAGCATTAGTCTAACTCTTATGATAACTTTATCCTCCTACCTTCACCTCTTATTTAGCACAAAACTGTACCAGAAACCTTTGTTTTTAATGTTTTCAGACAGTAAAACTGAGCATCTAGATAGCCAAGCTACCTTATCTCCATTATAATGATGTGAATGATCTAGAGAAAGTTGCTACAATTATTTTGCAATAAGATATACTGCTTGCTAACAGCAGTTATAGCTTTCTGCCTGCCTTCTGGTTTCACCAGCAAAACACTTCTCAAAATGGCTTGTCCCCAAAAATCCATCCAAAAGCAGTTGTAGATTTTCACATGTTCCTTTTACCTCAACAGAAGGGAGCTTTCCAAGTTTTTAGACTGGGACTGCTCTAGACACTACTATCTGCTATGGGAGGAATGTTTATAACTGACGTAGTGACAGTTAGGTTTTTCATATTGTCCAGAGTGTTCTTATGATTAATTCCTAAGTAATAAGCCTGGAATTGAAAGGGTTAATCACTCATCTGAGTGTACCTACAGTTGCCAGTTTCTGCACAGCATCATCAGATGCCCCCAGAGAAGCCAGACCTAACTCCTGAGAGAACTGAGCAAAGCTGGGCTCTGCCAGCAGTGGCACATGACCCAGCAGCTCATGACACGTGTCCCTGGAACACAAACACATTCATATATACACTAAAAAGAGCAATAGGGAATTAGCTGATGGTCATGCTTCAGCAAAAACTATTACAAATGTATTATATGGAAAAATATACTTAATTATATGTCATAAAGCCTATATTTCTAAAGCTCCACAATAATATACTATATTTTTTGAAAGATAACTTGACTTAAATGAGAAAACCTCTATAGGAAACATAAAAAACACTGAGTGAATGAAGTATACAGTGTCAAAAGCCCAAATTTAATATACTGGCCCAAATGAAGCAAACAATAGGACCGATGACAGCTGTTTGTTAAAGTATAAACTAAACGCTGTTGAGGCAAACAGCAGGTGACAATGTATTTGTTGTTGACACCAAGGACAAGCCGCTAATGTTTAGAGTTGATGTACACTTGAGTACTTACGGCTCAGGTGTGTAGAGAGGGGCTGAACTGTGGCGAACATACTGAGTACAGTGGAACACTCTGAAGGCCAGTCCAGCCAGGAAATCACGAGGAGACAAGTATCCAGCTACTGGACGGATTGTAAAACCTGTTCGCTCTAAAACACACAATCACATACACAGATATACCAACATCAACAACACACACCGATATACTCTTATTTCTGCCATCTATAGATATTGATATATGCGATTTGTCCACTGTATGTCTTATGTGTCTATGTATAAAAATGAATAATGTGCTAAAACAGCACACCTTATGTACAGCTTTTTAATGGAGAAAATATTTACATTTGTGGGTTTCTTTGCTCACCCATCTTGCTGTTTTTTTCTCATAACACTCCACAGTTTGGAGTGTGCCTCTGAAAAACCTCCATTTGGAGGGCCAGGTAGCCCTAACACGTTCCCCTACCCCTCTATCTCAACAAAAATCAGGACACCCTACCCCTAGGTGTGAACACACAAAACGGAGGAGTAAGGGCAAAATGGTATGCAGAGTCAGCGCTGGTGCAGCAGTGGGTGCAGTCTCACCCTTGAGGAAGCGCGACACGTCCTCCAGCTGAGGGATGTTGTCCTCTCTGTATCCGCAGTGCTGGGAGAGCAGAGGCAGGTTGCGCAGGTACTCCCTGCATGCGTGCGAGGGGTACAGCTTATTCAGCTCCCTAAACACCACCCCCCACGTCCTCACTTCTTCCTCCGTGAACTCCACACGCGGAATCGGGTCTCCACTGAGAGAGAGAGATCAATGTGAGAGAGAAAGAGACGGTGGACTTTCTACCATGTGTAACACGTAATGTGAGGTTCTTTTAGAAAAACAAGAAATATATGAAACTTTGGGAAACATACTGCTTATAGTTCATTGCAAGGTCAGCGAAATATTTCCTTCTCTTCCGGTACACATTGTCTTTGAATCCCTGGAGGAAAGAAGAGGCAAAGAGAGGATATTATTACAATACTGTCCAGAATTTGGAATCACATATTATATTGAAAATATGTCATTCTAATAAGCTGCAATAATAACTCATACCAGACAGCAAAAGATATTTTTAGATGGATGTTTTATACAACATTTCATACACTTTAGATACAACATTAGATACGTCAGTTGATAGACTTGATGGTGATGGTCGACAGTGGTAGACTTGATTTTTATTTTTTTATTTTTTGAAAAAATAGGTATTCTGGATATTCAGTTTTCTCTGTTATTATGGATTCATCTACAGCTTGTCGACAGTAGTGCATGTCGCATATAGAGAAACTTAACACAGCAACCCTATCATTATATTTCATTTAAAGGGCACATATCATGGAAATTATGCTGCAAAAACAGCTTGTATTCAATTGACTGTTTCTGTGACGTCGCAAAAGCTAATTCATATGCAAATATCTGCCTATTCCGTCTACAGCAGTTTAGCCCTGTACATTCACGCTGAAATTATGAGTGTTTTAGCTCGTACTGCTTTATGAATGAGGTACAATACAGGGCAGCCAATCTGAACAGAGATTATTTACATATATACCAGTCTTAAAGGCGCAGTAAAAACAGCTGGTTTAATTCTAAGGTATGAGGTTGGACAATGAAACTGAAACTGTTTCTAGCACATAAAAACACACAAAGGCTAAGTGGACCTCTGAATACAAGAAAAGTGTAAGATCCAGGTGCTTTAAAAAAGGAAGCAGGGATTAAAAGAGGAATGTGTAGGGGACAGGAGCACTCACAGGATGATCAGCGTCCAGGGCGGAGCCGTACATCAGAACACGGTTAGCACACTTGTCAAGATCAGAAATCTTCCTGGGGAACCAGCGTTCTTCAGAAAAATCTACAATATCAAAGAGATATGCATTGTGTCAGTCTGACTGCTTCATACAGCACCTGCATTAATACATCTTAGTACGAGTGGGCAATACAATGATATGCTATCTCAGTAATCTTTCTAGAGTATATGGTGGGTAGCATGAGTACGTCTAGAACACTGAAGAGCTGCATATCATGAAAAACACAGATTTAGACCAGTTATAGATTTTTGAATTTTTTATAGCCATTTTGAATTGTGATACTATAGTGATGTTGATATATTTTGTCTGTTCCAACTTGTTCACCTCAGAAAAACAAAATACTGTGATGCATATTGTGTATCACAAAGATACTTTCAAATATTATGATGTTACATTTTTGCCACTTTGCTCTTTCATCTCGCAAAAAGATGCCAGGAATGTTCTGGAGGAGGGTACTTTACCATCTTCAGCAGAGCAGAGCTTTTCAGGTGAGTCCATGGTGACACCGCTAGTTTGCTTTTTCAGCAACTGGATGATTTCCTTCAGGGTCTCTCGCTCACTGTCACAGTCCACCAACACTTCCAGCTCCGAGTTACTCCTCCTGGACTTGCGCGACTCAATGTGCAAAAGGTTGACCTGGTTTTCCTGTTGGTAAACGTAGAATGGACAGGGAATCATTTCAGCATACACTCTTGTAATTAACATAAACCTTTTCAGGAACACAGTTAACTATGGAGATCTTTTAACATTAAAATTGACATAACATCTTTGTCTAAATCTAAAGGTTAAAGTTAAAGACTGCGTTGGAAGCTGCTGAGATTTGTCATTTTGACATCTTTCACTAAAATCATGATTTGGGTACAAAAATTAAAGTCAACTTGTATCATGTCTCTGGTCATATTAATCACAGTGCATCATAACATACGAATTAAAAGACAAAATTCTTATTTGATGACCTGTTTACATAGTTCTGATTATAACACTGCACATCAGCAGGAGGGGAAATACATGTTAACCAATGATTATAATTTCCAATTCACATTGACTTTAAGGTCATGCACAGACCTACCTGAAAAAGTTTTAAAGCTTTTACAAGGTTACCAACTTCATTCTTCAGGGAAAAGATAATCGCTGCATGTTCTCTCTTGGAGGGCAGGATCTTGTCTTGGTGCTCATCAGCATTGTTAAATGTCGATTTGTTCAACTTTAAATAAAAGAGCAGAACATTTATGGTTATTCTCAAAGGACAGATGAAGAAAATCTGGCAGCTGTCAGTGGCGGACCATCACACTTTAGTAAGATAGTGTACTGCTGAATGTGAATCTTCATTATTATTGAGGAAATAACACAATATATAATGCATAAAATGTAAAACACAACAAAATTATTGGGTACTAACATATGAGCACTTATTCTGGGGGGGTGGGGAGTGGATACTGAAAGTCTTAAACAATGAATATGTGTTTATAAGTCAAGCTTTTCTTGAACTTGTTTGAGTAAGTGAGTTCAGCACCGTGCACCGGACAGCAGCTTTAGACTCTAATGCGTGGTCTATAGATGATCCACTCCACAGTCATTGCATATGCTTTCATTTTAATTGGAATACTAAGGCAAGGGACTTTTTGTCAAAGAGCCGAGATAAGGATCTTTCTGAATCTTCTGTTTTGAAAAGAGCCTGCAGGCTGTTCTGCTGAGATGGTGTATTTGTTTATATTTAACTTTTAATGGCTGTGGGTGGAGTATGAAGCTGCAGTATTAGTACAGTAGGTGCAGAATAATTGTAATAGGCACAGTATGTAAAGTAAGTGCAATTTGATTAAAAGTAGAAAAGTTTGCAAAAAAAGTTCAAGTATGCAACCACTGGAATATACAATAATAATACAAATCTCAACAATAATACAATAATACAAATCTCCCCACACATAAAATCGTACCAGCGCAACACAAACTAACACAACATGCACACTAATATGCCACCATCACATCACATCAGTGTCACTGCAGTGCTGATCCACCACCCATATAATACCTGCTCTGTGGCAGCCCTGTGGGGGTCCTGACCACTGAAGAACAGGGTAAAAGGGGGCTAACAAAGTATGCAGAGAAACAGATAGACTACAGTACTGTGCACCTATATAGTAAGTGGAGCTGATAAAATGGACAATGAGTGTGGATACAGGGGATGTGTACTTAATGAAGTGGCCGGTTCGTGTAGAAGAAGTAGTAGTAGTAGTGATAGTAGTAGTAGAACAAATCTCCCCACACATAAAACCATGTTTTTAAATATTATTTTTGTTTAAAGCCAGTTGTTATTATTATGATGTGAATAATAATTTTAAGTGGCTGTGAGTGGAGTATGAAGGTGCAGAGCAATTATAATAGGTACAGTATGTAAAGTAAGTGCAATTTGAGTAAAAGAAGAAGAGTATGTTAAAAAGTATGCAACTGTTTTGGTGCTAATAATAATAATAATAATAATAATAATAATAATAATAATGTATTATTTGCATTGCCTTTTAAAGCTTTTCAGATAGATAACTATGAATAATATTAAGAAAAATATTTGACTAACCTCATTGTTGAGCTGCTTCTCCTCATAATACTTGTTGATGGAGTCAAAAGAGCGTCCTCGACGCGGTCCGTCAGTCTTATTGGAGAACATGCCCCCGCAGTGCGAGCTACTCTTTATATACGGGTGTCTGAACCCTCACACTGCTCTTTCTGCCTTCACCGCGCGCAGAAAATGTGTTTCTCCTGCAGCTCGCGGCGCTGCGCTATTTATCAGGCGCGCTCCCCGAAGTGGGGGCTGGGCGCCCACCCTGCATTGGTCAGAGAGCAGCAAAGAGAAAATGGAAAACAGTGATCAGGGGACGTCACAGAGCAGCCTGATTATTCTGAGACATTATTATTATAATTCTGTACTGAGGGTAATAAAAGCTTTCTTTTACAATAAACCTTTAAGGTTTTAATGCTTGAAAGTGGTTCAGCTTTCAGACAGCAGCATTGAAAAGCTGACGCAGGCCAAACTTCACATCCAGCAAAGTTGCGCGCTTGTACTTCGTTTGCGTTCTTGATATTTTTGAACTATTGCGTCATCAACATAACGTTGTTCTACTATTCAACTCTATTTAACGTCGCTCACTGCCTGAAAAGATGTCAGTGCTCTGTAGAGCTCTGAGCACGTGTCGTCGTTTTTATATCATCATGGCTATGACATCACATTCATGAACACCTTTCCACCTTACACCTTACAGCAGTTTAGCCTGCCCATTCATGTGGACGTGATAAATGTTTCGAAAGTGTTTGATAGGTTTAAAATTGGTCATGTAAAGATGAGTTATGCTCTTGATACTTAAAAAACAGGTGATTTCATTGTTCATTTTATCAGCTCCACTTACCAAATAGATGCACTTTGTAGTTCTACGGTTACAGACTGTAGTCCATCTGTTTCTCTGCATACTTTGTTAGCCCCCTTTCACCCTATTCCTTAATGGTCAGGACCCCCATAGAGCAGGTATTAGCCTGTGTGGTGGTGGATCATTCTCAGCACTGCAGTGACAGCAGTGCTGCTGGAATTTTTAAACACTGTGTCCACTTACTGTTCAATCTATTAGACACTCCAACCTTGTTGGTCACCCTTGTAGATAACTGGTCACAGGACATTGCCCACAGGACGCTGTTGGCTGGATATTTTGGTTGGTGGACTGGAGTCCAGCAGTGAAGCTGAGGTGTTTAAAAAACTCCAGCAGCACTGCTGTCTGATCCACTCATACCAGCGTGACACACACTAACACAACATGCACACTAATATGCCACCACCACATCAGTGTCACTGCAGTGCTGAGAATGATCCACCACCCATATAATACCTGCTCTGTGGCGGTCCTGTGGGGGTCCTGATGACTGAAGAACAGGGTAAAAGGGGGCTAACAAAATATGCAGAGAAACAGATAGACTAAAGTCTGTAATTGTAGAACTACAAAGTGCACCTATATTGTAAGTGGAGCTGATAAAATGGACAATGAGTGTGGATACAGGGGAGGTGTAATTAATGATAATTAATGAAGTGACCGGTCAGTGTAGAAACAGCAATGCAAGTCTTGCTGGAAAACAGTCTAATACATTTGCATGTTTTGTAGATTTGCTACATCCTCTACAGCGAACAAGCAAAAATTGTATTATTTGGCAAATTTAGTGCCCAATTTCTATTTATTTGCTGAGAATTTTTCCCTAATATATTCAATCCAGCAAATGAACAGTAATTGTGCATTAAAAAGCAGAAGTGTTCTCTGTACATGATGTGCACTTATTTTCACTTGGAAATTCAACAAATCATGCAGTTTGACCAATAGCACCCCACCCACAATTTTGCAAATGACTGCTTTTTTAAAAGTATGAAACTGTTTTAATCTGAGATGACTGACTGGCATTTTCCAGTATGCAGTAGGTGTCTGTATTAGAGGTGCCTTGGCTTTGGTATATTTCCACCCCATTCTGTGGGGCACTAATTCAGCACCACTGCCAAATGAACAGCTCCTCTAAGAGGCGGGGGCTTTTTATTGGCCCACACAAACCTACACAGACCTTGGCATTTGTTGGGCATACACCCTTTTCACCTCAGAAGACAATATTTTTAGACATATCAACTCTTGTTTTTCCATGGCAGAACACGTGTGGCCTCGCAGGACAAATGCGTGTTGAAAGGGTGATGGTCAAAGCTCCTAATAACCAAACAAACTAGGAGCTTTGATTAGGTAGTGCTGAAGGCGACCTATTTGCTCATCACTCGACACAGGAAACCTCTAGCCAAAGACTAAAATCAGACTGTGTCATGCTCCATAGAGCAGGTAAGTTGTTCCAAAGTGGGAAAGGTGGAAAGTAATAAAAAGCCGGTGTATGGACGCAGGGTTGGATTAATGAACACTGACTGGATTAATAATGATTTGGTAGTTATGAGCAATAGCCTTTTTTACGAGCCCCCCCCAGCAATTAATTAACCCAAAAGTGCGATATAATGAGTTGCTGATGTAAATCCAACTCAAACACATGACTCATCTTTTATTCAGGCATTCTCACGCTACCTCTCCTCTTTATTGGCCTATTGTCTCTGCCTCCCACTGCCTGGTCATTGATCTAAAAGACCTACGTGGCCGTCCTCAGCTGTAAATAGCGTCTTTTGTAGTGAGCCCCATAACCACACATCTCATTAGGCTGGGTCAGGAGAAAGGCCCACCACCTACTGAAGGACAGCCAGTTTCGCCGGCACACGAGAACTAAAACCTCTACATATTGCAAATATTTAGGCTCTTAAAAATAAATGTTCCTATGGTTCTTGGCTTGGATGTGTGGTGCCAGGTAAAAAAAACTTAATTGGTTTAGAAACTTTACATTATGTGTAGGTTCTTTAAACTTTAAAAGGTTCTTCACAGTTGTACTCATTTATAAAAATAGCTCATCAAAGAACCATCCATTGAAAGGTTCTTTAGGGAAGCAAAATTGGTTCTTCTATCGCATCCTCCAATGAACCCTTTTTAGCACCTTTATTTTTATGAGTGTACATTGCAAGTCAGACCCATGCATACACCTTCAGAGGGCCAGAGGCTTAAACCTAAAAAAGGTTGACCCCTCCCGACCCCGCACCCCACCTGTGGTGGCACTGATTGACACTTCCGCATGTTCCTGGTACTGTTTGATCAACATCATCCACAAAAACTTAAAGTGAGGTCAGTGAATCATCAATGAGCTTCACACATAAATCTGCATACAATTCTAAAATAAAATAAAACATACAATTCTAGAGAAAAAAAAAACTGGAGCCTTGTGTGAAAGTTCTTAAAACTTTAAAAAGTTCTCATAGATCTCATTTACAAAAATGGTTCTTTAAAGAACTATCCATTAATCCATTGTTTACTATACCAAAAGTGGTTCTTATATAGGATTGTTCCAAAAATCCTCTTTGGGACCTTTGTTTTTAAGATTGTTTCATTACAGGTCATGTACTGCCTCATTAAAGAATGCAAAGGGATGTGTGATGGGGTGATTACTGCCATCCTTGGGGCCAGACAAATAGGAAATGGATAAAACCACAGAACATTTCCAGATGCCTCATATCCTGCATGTCAGCTTGGTCAGTTATAGCTAATGGCTACGGAGCCTGCCTTACCCTACATGTAGTCTGAAAGTGAATGTAAATGTGAATGCAGATGCAAATTAGCAGTTTCCTGTTCTTCAGCATCTGCTCCAGCATTTACAGCAGGAACCTCATCAACATAGGTTAATAAAGCCAATTTAGCTTAGACCAGTCATTTAAGGTCTTTGTGAAGACAGGCGGCAAGGCCAGTTTTCCTCCATATACAATAAATATCCAAGCAATTTGACTTGGTCTAAATGGTGGAGAAGTCCTACAACAGCACAGATAAACAAACAAACAAACTAATTTGATTTGAGCATCAAGGCCTGTTTTCTGATCATGGCCTAGCACTAATCTAGTGTGGTCCATCTACCTTACTGTTGCTATGGTTCCTCTGAACCCTGACTTAATCAATGTAACTCAATCCAGAATCATTTTCAGCAGCATGAAGTTCCTTAGGCATAATAGGATGCATGCAAAGCTGAACCATGCATATACACAGAACTGCCAGTTTATTAGGTACTCTGTAATTATTGGCACCATTGGTAAAGATGAGTAAAGATGGTCAAAAAATGTTTTTGTGGATAATTAGCTCAATTCTACACTGAAAATATAAGGGAAATCTAGCCATTAATAGAAGGAAATTTACCTCACCTAGAAATTTTATTTAAAAAATAAAAAAAGCTGAAGCACAGTGCCATTTATATTTCACTTTTAGTCAATTCTAGTGTTCAGTAACTCTTAAGCAGTTATTCATGACTTTCTGTTTCATTGGGGTATAAATATGAAGTGACATAAATTCTCTTAGTCATTCATCAGCATGAGGAACAATAGAGAATCCACTAATGAAATAAGATAAAAGTGTAATTATGAAGTCTCCAAAACTATGATTTAAAAAGCCTTTTCTTTCATCTAACCACAAACATAAACATAACTTATATTGGAACTTTGACTGGAATCAGATTCGGTTATCAGATGAGACAAAGTTACAACTTTTGGCAACAGGGTTTGGTTTAAAAAGAAGTATGGTTATAATAACCTCATCTCCACTATTTAATATGGTGGAGGATCTGTGATCTTTTGGGGCTGTTTTTCCTCCAAAGGCACTGGAAGTTTGTTAGGATACATGGCAACATGGACTCCATGAAGCAGGGTATTTTAAATGAAGGTCTGGCTGCCACTGCCAAAAAGCTAAAACTGGGCCATGGTTGGATCTTCCAGCCAAACAATGAGCCAAAATGTCCAAATCCATACAAAAATGATTCAGTGACCACAGAATCGAGCTTTCACATATTTCACATTAAAACTTGCGTAACAGCTCAGATGTACATCTCAGGTCTCTGGTTACCCCTCGGCCATTCCTACAGGTATCAATGTTACTTGTCTTCTCAGGTGAGCCAAAGAAGGTCTGCAATGGAGAGCAATGTCAGTTCGCATTAAGTCTCTGCAGTGAGGTTCACTTCAGAGATGGTTCTTCTCCCATCTTTGAAGCCGTCAGCCATCAAGCAGAGGAGGAAAAAAAAACATCTGTACAAAATCACCATACCAAATTTTAAAAGGTGATGACAGCTCATTTTGGAAATGGAGCGTCAACAC